TGCCATGCCCAAGCCCACCCCAGCCCCAGCTGCTCAGTGAGCTCCACAACATCAAGGAACCAGGGCTCAGCTCCCCATGGCTGCTGGGACCCAGCCATTTCCCCCATGCTCTCACCTTCTCTGAGCAGCGCTTGATGTGCTCAGCCGTGAAGTGTGGCAGCTGCTTGAGGTACGAGTCCTTGGACCACATGGCCTGGGTGACCATCTGCGCCAGCTCCACGGCAGCCAGTGCAGGGCTGAGCCACCCGTTACTGGACAGCACATCCACACAGGCCTGGATGAGGCGGATGGCCTAGGGGGCAGGGGAGGAAGCAGGGGTCAGGGTGGGGGCTCTTGGGCTGTCCTGGCTTCTACCATCCACCCCAGCTGATCCCCCCACAACCTGCCCCTGCAAATCCACACAAGAATAGACCCCCTACCTGCATCCAGTTCATACACTTCAGCCTAGCTCCACCACAATCCTATTCATACCATCCTGGCCCCCCAGCTCCCCTGCATCCACCCCAAGCTGGATCCTCCCACCCAGCCTGGCCCCACCATATCCATCCACACCACCCTGGTCCTACCAGACAACCCCGGCCACAACCACACATGTAGCCACTGCCAGCCAGCCACAGCCAGACATGCACCTTGCTGAGAATCTCCTCGGTGTCGGATTGCAGCTCGGCACTCAGCTGCATGTGGGACAGGTGGGCCTGCAGCAGCAGGTTGGTCTTGACATGCGGGTCATTGAACTTGGGGTTGGTCAGTTTGTGCGGGACCTTCTGCGCCAGCTGCCATTGAGAAAGGGGGGGACAGGCCAGGCTGAGCCCCTGGGAGGGCTGGAGCTATGCCTGCCTGCCCTCCACAGCCTCTACCCTCACCCCCCGTCCCCTCCTGAGGAGCTGAGCCGTACCTATAGCTCCCAGCCCTGCTTCCCATCAGGCCCCACCCCCCCCCACTAAGGCTGCCTATGACACCCAATGCTGCCACCTCCCCCCTCTCCCCACCAACCCAACCCAACTCAACTCAACCCAACCCAACCCAGCCCAGTTACGGCACACCCCACCCCAGCCCAGTTACGGCAGGCAGCTGCGGCCAGATTCCAGCCACCCCAAGCCTTACCTGCCGCAGGAGATTGTCCTCGTGGTGTCGGATGGGGATGTTTTCATATTCAGCAGCGTTGGAGATGATCTCAATCAGGCCCCGCACCTTGGTCTTGGCATTGAGTGACATGCTGAAGAGCTCTGGGGAAGGCAATGTGGGGAGGGGTCAGGCCACACACACACCCTGCCCAACCCCACTGCCCATAGTTGGCAGGCATGGAGCCCCAGGCCCTACCAATGGTGGTGTAGTTGATGTAATAGTAGGCTGCAATCATGCCCAAGTTGAGAGGGGCCACGTCCATCTCGTCCTCAATGCTGATGCACTTGGACTGCTCCAGGTCACTCAGTGTCTGCTCCACCAGCTCCGACAGGTGGTCCGAGAGATGCCGATGGGAGACGCCTGCAGACAGAAAGTCAGAGGTGCTTGTTGCCCTGCTAGGATCTTTGGCTGGGATGGTGAGGACCGGGCCAATTGCAGTCAGGAGTGCATGGGAGGCCACGGTGGAAGTGCCTCCATCCCATGAGGGTGGGCAAGAGCTCTGGGGACCCCCATACAGAAAGAGGCTAACGAGCTCAGGCTCTGTGGCTGTGCCAAAGTAAATCAGGGACCAACGACTTTAGTGTTTGACTGGAGTAGCACAGAGACACCATTAGCTGTGTCAGCCAGAAGTCAAATAGGAAGCAGGGAACATTTGCAACCCTTAGACTAACTAAATTGTGTGCACCCCCCACCACGTGCACATGCATGCACACACATGTGCATGTGTATACATTCACATGCATGTGCATATATTTACATATAAATACCATTCACAAATGTGCGTATATGTGTATGTACACACACACACACCTATATTTTGTGTGTGTGTGTGTGTGTGTGTGTGTGTGTACACCCCCCCCCCATAAATACATACACATATACATGTTTGAATGGTGGGTATATACTGTTCTTTGTATATTGTGTAACTAAAATAATTTCTTCTTCTATGACTGTCTGACTTCTGTGTTGTTTTTAGTCTGTATGTAACTAATAGCTATAACTAATAATACTAATAACTATATATAATCTCTTCTATGAATGTGTGACTTCTTCTGTGTTGTAATAATACCTGACTACTTCTTCTACTATGATGTATGTGTAATGTGTGCTTCCCTGCACAGTGATGGATCACACTGCAAGGGAAAACATAGCTTTCTTTTTAAAGAGTTTGGGGGAGAAAACCCAAGAAATATAAACTGAAAGAAATGGATTGGATAGGGATAAGTAGAGGGATTCTAGTTAGTAAACTAAGCTATATCCAATCCTTTCCAAGAGCAAAAAGTAGTAG